CCTTGAGAGGAAGAATCCTTTCCAGGCGATGCTCCCGCCGGCCTGCGCGCCCGAATTGGGCGCCCCCTTCGTCCCGCTTCGGGAGCAATGCCCCCCGCCCCTCGGGCCCCCCGGGAACGACGCGAGCATGGAGAAGTCGAGTAGCGAGGATTCTTCGATCCACCGGAGTCCATCTTTGGACAGCAAGGACTCGGACTTTGCCAAGCCGTCCACTTCGGGCCGCCCGTTCGGCCGCGGCTTCACCGCCGGCGCCTTCTACGGCACGGCGGGCTCCCGGGGCCAGAGCCGCGCCGAGGCCGGCGTGAAGAGCGACAAGTACAATGCACCCAAAGGCAGCAAGTACGTGGTGTTTTACCTGGACCTCTCCTTTGTTTTCCTCCTAGAATTTAAAAAGTGCAACATGGCCAGGGGCTGCCTCTGCTGCTTGAAGTACATGATGTTCCTCTTCAATTTGATATTCTGGGTAAGTCCTTCTAGCCCACTTTGCTGCACTGCTCTGCTTTCTGCACATCGGTAAGTAACCCCTGCACCCCCTTCTTTAAATCTGTTTCCACCTCTGTCATGCATCTCTGTCCTCACTCCCCTTGGTGGCTGAATGGAATCCCCAACTTGCCGGGCTTCTAGGAAAAACTTGCTCGACTCCCAGGAGGTTGGCAAAGTTTGCTGCCACCTCCTCCTACGAGAGAGCTGCTGCCTGAGTACACTGCAAAATGGGGGAGAGGCCGGGAGGTTGTCAGGATGCTGGAACAGTTTGTGACCCCAAGTCGGAGACGGTACAACTGCAGATGATTTTTTGAGTAACTTCTGTGTTCATACACAAGAATATACAGTCCGCGGCTTCTTATGGGGGTGGGGTGGGTAAGGTCACAGCCTCTCCCTCCTTTAGTGAGTCCCAGGGCAAGGAGGAGGTCCCCATCCCAAGTAAACGGACTTGCTTCCTAGCCCCCACACACCCCCTCTGCGTTTTGAATGGGGGCTTGTGTGGGAAAGAAGGGGTGTGGGAGGGCTGCTGCCCGTGGCTGCTTCTGAGGGATTGCAGTGGACTGACTGGCCACGTGCTCCTGCTGTGGATGGCCAGCCCTCCAGGCCCCCAACCCCAGGGGCTGGAGGGGGGAGGGGGAACCATTGGAAGTGGCCCTGGCCCCTGTGAGAGATTAATTTTTAGAGATGATGTCAGTGGGTAGGGCAGCTGAGAATTGTTCTCTGGCTTCTGTGTGGCCCTGGAGGTTGTGTGTGTGTGTGTGTGTGTGTGTGTGTAAGCCCAAGAAATACTCATTGGGCAAATTTGAAAACGTATCAAATTCATTTGTAATTGCTCCTTCGCCCTGACTGCTGCCTCCTGCTTCTTTCACGGAGCCCAGACCGTCAGCACAGATGTTTGGCTCTGCCCCAGGGCCTGTCCTCCTGCTCGCTGGAGGCGGTCAGCTGCCCCAGGGGCAGGAGAAAGTCATTCAGACTGAAAGTATGGAGAAGGGGATGTGTTTCAGGGTTTAACTTTGGGGTGGAGTGACCCACTTTAGCGGAAAGAACGTTTTTGGGGGTGTATGGGGAGTGGGATGACCTTTCTCATAAAGGGGAAAGCTCAGGGCTGGCAGGGAAAAAGACTGGACTTTAGCCTTAGTTCTGCACCGCTTCTTGTGTGACCTTGGACAAGTCACGCTATCCCTCCAGATCTGGGAGTTCTTTTCCAGCCCTTTGGAGGGTTGTTGATGAGCTCACACAGTGCCCTCACCGCATTAATTGTGGGATGTCCCAGAGCTGGGAGAGGAGGTGCCAGAATGCGTGTGGACCTTCTTTGCTGGAGGTGGGATGGGGGTGGGGGGAGCCTAATTAGTTTTTAGAGGCGACATCAGTGGGAAAGACAGAAGACAGAGAATTGTTCTCTGGCTTCTGTGTGTTG